AAGTTTGCTAATCCTTCTTCCTCCCTCCCTCCCTCCCTCCCTCCCTCCCTCCCTTCCTTCCTTCTTTCCTCCCTCCCTCTCTCCTCTTTCACAAGCAGGCGTGACCAGCATGTACAACCTGACGCTCATGATTAGGGAGAATGTGGACTATTTTGTTGAATAAGACGACGTGGTTTAAACACCCCAAAACAATCCCTGGCACAAAGACAAATAGTACATATTAGTGTCTTCTTTTTATTCTTTCACTAACAAACTTAGCGTTTTGTTTCCACTGGGGAAAAACAAAAGATTGTAGTTTAAGAGATTGGGGAAAAAATGGGCTGAGTTTTATGGCCTCGAGATAAAATAGTGTTAGGTTTTTTTTCCCCCGTGAAATCTTTTGGGCAATTAAATGCTGGGTTATGTCTTGATGATCATACAAAAGCTGAGCATTTGAGCAGCTTTGATGGGGGGATCTGATCTCAAAAGAATGCAGCGCAAACTCTGTCTTCCTCCTTTCTTTATGTATTTCCTCACACGCACCTCCTTCCCGAGGAGGAACTAAGGCATTCCGTGGGGGAGTGGCCCAGGGTCAGGGCTCTGACCCATCGGCACCTGGTGATTTCTTCCAGACTAGACTACCATTCATCTCTACACGAGTCGGGCGTGGGCTGTCTGGGCCTATTGTTCCTTTCCCCTCTATTTTAAGGAGGGACATTTACCATAAACAAGTCAGCATGCGTGCTACGCGGGGTCAGTGGAAAATCTATCCTGCATTTTGTGGTTTAAACCTAACAGTTTAAACCCCAGATTTTTTTTTTTTTTTTTTGGCGGTACGCGGGCCTCTCACTGTCGCGGCCTCTCCCATTGCGGAGCACAGGCTCCGGACGCGCAGGCTCAGCGGCCATGGCTCACGGGCCCAGCTGCTCCGTGGCATGTGGGATCCTCCCGGACCGGGGCATGAGCCCGTGTCCCCTGCATCGGCAGGCGGACTCTCAACCACTGCGCCACCAGGGAAGCCCTAAACCCCAGATTTAAAATCAATTGTCCATCACACTCCTTATTGTGGGGCACATCAGTCCCCATGGATCTTAATGCTTCTGAGCCTGGGTCCTGTGTCTCCACGGAGGTGCTGCATCAACCTCACGTTTCTCGGCAACCACTTAGCAATCATTATGATTAACTCCTTGGAATCCAGATGATAATTTATCATCTTTCATCACAGCCAGGGCTTCTGTTTAGGGTTTCTGTCCAGTTCATCTCCAGCTTATCTCCCTGTGCCCTACCGGGCATAAATAAAAGAGCCCGCTTTTAATTTTATGATCAAAGTAATTGCCAGTCACTCAAGGAGAAGATAGAAAGAAAGAGTTTTGGAATATGGGGAATAAAGTCCCTAAATCCTGCTTCTGCAAGGGCTCTGTGAAGATGGGCTTTCCCAAGTGCTCCTGGTGAACTGAAAGAAGTTTCACCCGTATTTAAACTGTCAGGATTTATCGAGTGCAAGCGGGAAAACTGCCCGTGCTTCTCAAGCCAGAGCCCGGCATGGACCCTGCAAGTGAGATCCTCCACCTCCCGTGCTCACCTGAGCAAAATGCACGCAGCAAACACCTCCTACAACTCACGACTCAGAAAAGTTTGCTAAGGTTCCACTGCTGAGTTAATTTTCACGATTAACTTTACGATTTTCCCCAATAAGACAGGCCTGACCTCTCTGCCCAGAGCGTCTGGCATTCTGGATGGAGTTGTTCTGGGCTGTGCTCTCTCCTGCCCGACTTCAAGGGAGGTGCATTTCTTCGGGGCACTTATAAATCTCAGATGTTTGTGTATGTTTAAAGCTGCACATTAACTTAAATGGGAAAG